TGACTGGACAGTGAAAGGTGAAGAAGCAGACTGATAAACTCCACTCTATGCCACCCTGCTCTCTCCTCCTATCATCACTGCTAATAAGGTTTTGCAGTACTGACTCTTTGTGCTGCTTCTTCCTACCTCAGTCTGAGCTCTGCTGTACAAGGGACTGTAAGAGGCTGACAAGAAGTCTAAACCAGGTACAAATACTGCTTGCATTGCAAAAGAAAACATTTAATGACGTATTAATGACTGCAGAGTTGCATTAATCTTTGCCTTTTATATCTGCTGGAGTTTGGCTTCAGGATACTCGGGGGGGTGTATCAATACTGCAGCAGATTGGTTACTATGGGCAACTGCTCCCGATTCTGTCTGCTCCAGTTTTGATAAGTTCCCCCTCTGTCTTTTAAAGTGATCCATTCAATAAAATGACGATACTGCTGGAGGTTCCCTCTATTGTACATGACCATAAGTGATCACAGTGAATTGTACCGGGAAGCCAGACCCAGTCCTGAGCAGCATGGAGTGTATTCGGGGAGTGAGGAGTACTATTGCCAGCTCATTAACTAGTGAGTGTCCCTGCTTTCGGGTGGATCGATGGAACAATGAAAGATTCGCCAGTGGAAGGGTTTGTATTTGGACGGTGACCTATGTACACACTGAGAGGAGGCTGCTGTGTAACAGACACGTGACATTGAACAGTGCAGGGAATAATAATACAGAGATGTCTCTACCGCTGGCTTCTTGTCTGCTCAGAACAAGGCAATGACATGAGGCAAGATCACACAGTCATAGAGCGGGATGATACACAGCCGGTACCATGGTCAATCTCTGCTGCTGTCGCTGAGTAATCAGCAGTGGAAAAGCAGCAGAAGTTTTGGTTCACTTCACTTAGAGCCCGTTCACATTGAGCGGTTTGTCGTGCGATTTCTGCTCCAAAGGTAACAATGAACAAATGGTAAGTCACTCGCACTCCAATATAGCTTCCAGTCAATCTATTTATTGACTAAACGGTGCAGCATTTCCATACGTTTCGGAACCAAAGAGGTCCCTTCATCAGGCAAATAGAAAGTTCCAAAATCGCGCATATTTCCGCGCGATCTCGCTCTATGTAGCTTGTACAACGCATTTCAATGGAGCTGTTCACATCTCACAGCTCAATGTCGCCTGTAGCTCGTCGCTCGTACATGACCTACACTTCGGCGGATGTCGCGCGATTTGGCCCCAGTAGACTTAATGGTGTTGCACAAAGTCGCGCATTACCGGCGATATTGCACGACCTTGTTGCGCAATATGGCGCTACAGAAGGGTCACTTTTGCACAGCAATGTGGAGGGAAAGAATGATGTCACATCAAGATCGCTGTTGATTAGTTACAGCCCAATGTAGCAGCGACGAAGTCCCTCCCAAAAGTCGCGCTACGTAGCGTGACAAAATGTGAACTGTCGCTCAATATCGCGCAATGTAGCTCAATGCCGCTCAGCGCGAAATCTCGCGAAAAACGTGCAATTCTCCATGTCGCTCAGTGTGAATGGGGTCTAAGACACAGCTGAGAAGTATTACACATGGCTGCATCCCGGGCAAATGTGATATTTCTAAATAACATTCAGAAGTCAGAACATGTCACCTTCTATACTTCCTGAACCTCTGCGTCGCGACTGAACTGTCCATGGCGCTTTATCAGGAATGGAGTATTAGCAGTGAAGAAGAACTCCAGGAAACATTTTCATTAACCCTTGTAGTGGTGCTACCCCTGATTTGATTGCAGTGGGGCTGCCCCTGCACTGCAAGGGTTAAAGAAGAACTATGGGGTCAGTGTTTTTCCCCATAGTTCTCCTTAGGGTAACGGGAGGAGACAAACTAGCGTCCTCCCGTTACCCTAAGCTCAGTATACCGCGAGCTGCTGCTCGCGGTATACTGAGACGCCGGAAGGGATCCCGACATCGATGTCGAGATCCGCCCAGCTGCGTGAGTGACAGCTGGCTCAGCCTATCTAGAGGCACTTTTGATGAATCCCCTCCAGTGTGTACTGGACATGCGGACATCAAGGAGCATACCATCGCTATGGCACTGACAACTCGCCTCTCTCTCCCTCCTCTTTCACTGTGGTATGCCCCTCAGTGTCTTTACGTCCAATACATTGTACTAGACGTGATGATGTCACTATTCCTTAGACCGCCAGAGCCTGGGGGAGAAGAGGCTGCGGGGACTGGTCTAGTAGTCAGGTGGGAGAGAGAATTGGGTGAGTATTTCTTCTCTATGTTTGTGCCCTCATACAAAATGAGCAGTTAACCCTTGCCGTTTGTAGTAGCCGCACTGCAAGGGTTAACTTTTCAAATCATTGGAGTTCCTCTTTAAAATCTGACATTTCCCCCCGGTAACAGTGTGCATCAGAACTGAAAGGTGAGTGAATTTCTCAAATGGGAACACAGCAATGGCATCCTTTTGTATGGAGTTCCACTCGAGTAAGCAAAGTCCCGCCTTGCCTTTAAAGTGAACCTGTCTCCAGGCTGTACACATTCAATGATTTAGATATTCTTATCCCTCTCACTGACCTCTGTAGCTGCAAGCACGGCAGAAAAATTCATCCTCAATGTTCATAACAAAGGCACTAAAGTCTGTATGAAGAACAGAGGTAGCAAGTTTCTCAGCAGCTCTGATTACGCTCACTCCTTTAGCAGCCATCTAATGTTGACACTGAACACACGCTCTTTGTGTACATTGGAAGGCGACCAAGCAGGTGCAGAAAGGGATAATAAAGCCTCATTTTGTTTTACATTTCTCCTTTAAGGAGACCCTCCTTTGCTGGAGGCAAAGGAAGTTTCTAATTCCTCGTTTTCTAGTGGCTCCCCGCAGCGCTCTTCCTCCTGCACGGGTGCCACCATCGCTCTAATGGAGGCACCCGTGCGCGCTCGTTTCCGCAGTGGCTGTGTGCGTCCATAGACACACACAGCCCTGTGGCAGGCCACGCCCCTTCCCTCTTTGATTGATGGCAGAAGGTGCCTATGGCTCCTCTGCCATCAGTATTCTTCCCCAGAAGTTCGGGGAACGGAGAATCGCTTCGGGACCGGCGGCGGGGACGATCGCAGCTGTCAGGTAAGTGTGGAGGGGACTGGGGTAGAAAAAAGGTGCCGGGCCGTTTTTACCCAGAGAATGCATTGAGGTAAAAAACGCCCAGACCTTTAGAATACCCTTGCGATGCTGAGAAACCATTCAGCTCCTATGGTCTATGATCCGGTGCCTCTGTTATAAGCCTTGAAGATGAATTGCTCCACAGTACCTGCAGCTACAGAGGTCACTGAGGACTTGTTTTAAAGCTCATTTATAAATATTGGACCAGCCACAATTTCAATTAGGAAAACAATGAAGAAGCAGCACTGTAATGATATGGACATAATACATTTCCATCCATACAGTCAAAGCCTTTGCCTACGTGCAATGAAGAGCGTTACACAGTGAAAAGGAGACATCAAACGTTTACTGACACTCATCACAGCCTTTTATAACCAGGTTTATGGTGCTAAGCTGCAGATAAAACACTGCACACATAAACTAAGCACGGCTGACCTACAAACATGTGCCATGTATTGAAATTGATATTGCAAGAGCGGCAGAGTCCTGAACTGCGCCCACCATGCCTGAAGAAGGAAACGAAGGGGCACATTTATATGACTTTCAAAAAACATTCACTGGTACTGAATAAATCACAGTGATTTCAAATGCATGCACCCGGACAATTCACCCACAGTGAATCTCTGGTAGCTGTCAGATCAACTGCTTTATAAATACACCCAGGAGGGGAGTTTATCAAAACTG